ACCTTTCTCAATAATCAAGTCTTCGAATAGTGAGTGTAGCTGCCCAGTCATTTGAAATTATGCTAACGCGGAAGATGCTCAATATTAGCCCCGCCTCCGCTATTCTGCTGAGCACCCATTGAAGAACCTTTCGAGGTCCTGAATGGTCCAAGCTGCGAGCACAGTGAGTTATAAGTTGCCTTAATGAACTGCCTGCCTACTGATGATTGATGATAAACAGATGCCATCCTCCATACAGTCCCCTGTAACGGACAGCAATAAGTGATCACGTAAGTTTGAATAATGCAGCAATTTAAAAGGCAGATATCAGGTGCTGAAGATCCTCTATATAGGATGGCGAACTTTCTATCGCAAGTCGCTCAATGTCTTTTAAGTCACGCTTGTGCTTTGGCCCTGCCCATTCCCAATGCCAGCTATTGCATCTCAATTTCCGCACGATTGCTAATCCGTTCGTGGCTCTCTGTCCATCAGCAAAGATCGCTGATGATTATTTTCCGTCATAGGGCGAGCTTCAATCTTACACTCGACCTGACAGAGCTATGTTCCCCTCGTCTTCGAAACTAAATCAACTTCCACAGCCTGAATGGCCAAGCCACTGAATCTCACTACGCTTGCGTCTTTGTTGTTTCTGAAGACGCGGTTGACAAAGCCACTTCGCCTGGCGCGTTTAGCGGGCCCAATTCATAAAGGCTCGATGCCCTCCAGTTGGCCATATGGTGGAGTACCAACCTACTATCACCTCTTCCAGATTCAACCTGTCCGATCAAATGTTAACTGTCACTACATTAGAAATATTTCGTATCCCGACAGGCATGGCCAAGTCCCATACTAGGCCGACTGAGTGATCGCAGCATCCGACAACAACAAAGGGAAGTGTAGCATCGACAACCACCGAGAAATACCACGGATTCCCCGAGAATAGCATCAACCAGTAATGAATCAAGCTTTTAGCCACAGTCTGAAGGATATCTTCGTCAAGCCCTTGTTGCAGCTGAGCAAGTGACGAGGCAGACCGCAGCGCTCGATCTACCCCAAATCTCTCGCCACGAGAGCAGTCGTTTCGGGTCAGTTCCTAGTCTACCCGGGACAAACACCACGATTCTCTCTTTCAACGGGACTTTGTCCTGGCATATTTGGAAATTTATCTGCTATCCGAACAGCAAGGACGAAACAGATATGCATTGGCAGATATTGCCAACATTCATTTGCAGCGATACCAAGTGATCCTGGGCCATCGTCCACCCATAATCGAGCTGAGCCCGCTACACCTTTGGTTGGCCTTCGCTGATACCAGACTACATTAACGGCAAGTCTCTACAACCCTCAGTCGCCAAAAGTCTTGCTGATATAGAGAAGCAGTGAGACGCAGCACTGCTTCGGCCGTTCCCACAAGTCTGATCGGGATAGTGTATTGTGGCTGGTATTGGGATTCTCATGTAGGCCGCGAGCACGGTCAGTGGCGAACACCCACCTTGCGCCATTTGCTGACAATTGGTGCTAGATCGAGTATATCCAACTGTTTTGCCTGTGGCCAATGCAGACGGCGTTTCAAAGCTTCCCCCATGGGCTACATCATGAGTAAAGAGAAGGAGTACGTTCTCAAAGTTGGAAGATGGAATAACCAACTGACCTTTTTGCCAAACCGCCGATATGAAGATAACTTTTCCCTCCCAAACGTGGCCACAAGCTAATCGAATGCTCCAAAGGTGAAATGTGGCAATCCTTATGGAGGACAGGAATCGATCGGAAGATCAAAGTGTCAAATCACGCATCATGACCGAGTTCGCTGGAAAGTCGCTGCCGATAGAAGGTTGTATGGGAGTGAATTATAGGGCCAACGGGTGCGAACCAAGGGAGTCACTCTGTCATACTTATGGAAACGTCAGATGCTTCAGGCACTGGACAAAGCAAGAAATAAGCTCAAGGACTATTACTCAGCGACCGATACTCCAGGGCTTATCAACATATATACCAATGGAACTATCTTAGCGCCGCAGTATAAGCTTGAGCTCTTTCAGACCCCTGAATGGCAAGATAAGGACTTTGCAGGTGAATATAAAGCAGCACTCGAGCAGCAAATTCTTGCCTATGAAGTTCAACTCCATGATACTTGCTCACAATCTGAAGGGCCTTCTTACCCACAGCCTGTTCAAGAGATTGAAATATTGCTTGATAGTTATAGAGCTCGACCCGCAGTACCACTCTCAGAGCTCCATCAGTATCTGAAGGGGGGTAAGTATTCTCCCAAAACACAGTTTCAATACATACCTCTCTAACTATTCATTTAATAGGTACTATACTCACTTCCCCACTTGATTTCTGGAGGGACCATGAGCAGCAGTTCCCAGTGCTTGCAGCAATTGCTCGAGACATGCTTTCTGTCCCAGCTACTGGTGCAGGTGTAGAGCGCTTATTCAATTCTGCCCGCGATATCTGTCATTATCGCCGCGGCTCTCTCCATGCAACGACTATTCAGGATCTCATGCTGCTAATGTGTGCTAATCGATTTGATATTGAGGAGGAGCAACTTGCTTTTATACGAGAATATAAAACAGAGTACGAGATAGATATTCAACAGGAGGATACCACAAAGCATATACTACAGGAGATTATAGAGATTAGTGAGGGGGGAGGGGGAGGAGGAGGAGGAGAAGGAGAAGACTCCTCTACAGCATCATACAAAGCGAAAAAGAGATAATTATGAAGCTGAAGAGGAGACATCAGATGAGGCAGGAGGCTCTGCGGAAGAAGAGCCTCTACTACCTAAGCAATCTAATACTCAGCGTGCTTCAGGGAGGGCCCGGATACCTTCGATACGGCTACAGGGATATACTACTTAATATAATCTATAATTTCATTCACATCTCTGCTCTTACTGTATCTGATTCAATATAAAAATCACTACTGTATCACAGAATCACTTTATTATCGAAACCACAGCATTACAGCCAAGATCTCGCTTAATCTTCATATTTTATGCAATGCATGTTAGCCCTAGAAAAAGCCCTATATTTGGGCCATTGGGCCGTTTTGGGCCGGCCCATGGGCCATGTACAGGTCTAGCAGTGGGCGGGTTTTGGCGAGGCCTAGATACAGCCAGAGAGAGGTCATGTGATTGGTCTTGGCATCAGTGGGAACGGATTAACTCTTCACCGTCTAAGTCATTTCCTCGAGGACATGTTATCCCAATCTGCCATGTTCTCCACTAACCACTTTCTCGGGACTTTCGGCATATCAATCGATATCCGTTCATTTTCATAGTCCAGTTTGTAGAGAAATGGCTGTGGGAATTGAACATGCCAGAGCTGGACTGGCCTGTCTGACCTGCAAGTCGGGCAAGCGACGATGCGATAAGCGGCTTCCAATTTGCTCTCGATGCAAGAAGTATGTTTGACCGCCGATAACGTCAATAGTGAGGATCAAGATGGGTACACATAACATGAAGACTAAACCCAGCGTATCGAATAGGTTAGATAGGCCCTGCGAATATCCAACAGTCCCGCCATCGGAATGTGTCGCCCAGCCGACTCAACCAGTAGCATTGGTGGAAAGCGTGTGGCCGGTCACGTGTATGTCATGTACGGTGCATCGACGTAGATGTGATCGTATCATCCCAAGTTGCTCTCGCTGTGTGAGGTATATCTAGGATAGTCGGAATATTGGCTGACACGGCCGAGTGTGGCCATGATTGGTCCTCAAGAATCAGACTGACGCGATTTGCTTTCAGAGTCGGCACCAGTTGTATATACCGAACGAATAGCTTCGAAGCTCCACTCATTGCACCCGATAATCCCGAAGCAACTAGATACGAGCTCCAGCCACTATTAGATTTTTCTCTATTGTCAGAAATGGGAATGGCATTCGAATCTCCTATTAGATACCGCTCATACATGTCGGACCTAATACAATTCTGTAAGTCATACGACGGTCACTCATTGAATTCGATATTTACTCATCAACCTGGAGTTCTCACGTCTATAGCTTTACCCTCGGGTACGGTGGTAGCTGACAGCCTGGCCCACCATCTCCGTTCGCAGTGGATGCTGCACACCATGTCCGATCCATGCCTATTCCACGCCACATTGTTCAGTGCATCCGCTTCAATTGACATGTTGCTGGGCCGGCCGAATACCACGCTAACCCTGTACCATCAGACCTGGGCTATCCGCTTAATCAATGAACGGTTAGCACAAGCTGAGCCAGTCTTGACCTATGGAACAATTGGAGCGGTAATACCCTTGCTATATTCTAGTGTTAGTATATTTTGGCATTACAAGATATGTGAAACAGATACTCATGATGGGCTGTAGATGGTCTCACTTGATCGAGGGTCAGCAGCTGCTCACCAAAAAGGCTTGGTAAAGATGCTCCTTGCCGCACCGAAAAACTTCCGCGACGATATAGGACCTCTGATTGCCATCATCAAAATGTATGTGATCATTATTAAATTCCGAGCTGATCGGTTTATTAATCACATCTCTAGAGTAATGATATCATTTGCCTGCATCTTCGACATGCTCCCCATTTGGGATTGCTTATACTCTGAATCAATTCGCCCAAATACCCTGATTCGAAATTTAGTGTCCAGGGCCACTCTTAGCAATACGGAATCAATTTTTGAAAAGGGTTCTGTGGATGCAATATTGGACGTCTACGAAGCCATCTCGCGGTTGGGTCATTTAATCCAGGTTGATCACTGTAGCACTGCTGCTGAAGTTGAGCGCGTGCTCTCCAATGCACCAACAAGTGATTCGATGGGCACGGCCGAATATAATCACCCTCTTTCAACGCATCAAAGGCTAAATATATGCTGCCAGCTCTGCTGCCAAATATTTTGGAAAATACTTCGTCGACAATCGCACCGCGAGGAAATTCAATACACTACTCTCAATCACGAAGTTCGACAGCTTTTGAAACACCTGGCGCAAATAGAGCCTTTATACTGGATCCGTAAAGCCCCGGAAGTGTTTACCTGGGCTGCATTCACCGGTGCCGCAGCGTCAGATCATCATGATGAGTGCGTAGCCTTCATTAGCCGCGCGGGGATGGTGTTGGCAGCCATCGATTGCGAAGAATTGACACTTATACGCCAGGGATGGAGATACTTTCATCTGCTGAAGAAATTTGGTGGAGATGATAATGCGCTTGCTGTATTGGCAGGTCATCGATTACGGGCTTAGTAGATGAGATGCTACATGATCCGCCCCTTTCAGTACCCCCGACTTCTGAGGGCTTTTACCGTCCAGTCCCAGAGGGTTTCCGCCATTTTCGCATCTGACCCAGCTTTACTTGGCGCCGAAACCTTTCCAACTGGCAACAAGTATGCTCCATTGTCGGCCTCTCTCTTCAAGCTGGGCGACACAGCAGCAAAGAGGATATTCGCTGCCCCTTTCCGTGGGCCAGGCGCACCTAGCTCGACAAGCGGTTTAATCAGCCGATAGAGCGGTGTTGACGAGATTGGCCCTGCGGATAAGTTCCTAAGTAACATTAGATCCGAGTCCTGGGTGACTGGACAGGGAAAGTTTACATACGTCTTCACTGTTCCCGGATGCAAAGAAAATGTAAGAATGTCGGGGTACCTTTTGGCCAGTTCTTTCGCATGCAATATGTTGGCAAGCTTGGAGTGGCCGTACCGAGCCCAGACAGAAAAGTTCTTCATGTTCATATCCGAAAAGACTATACCCTCTTTCGGGGCCAATTTAGCATGCCCGTCGCTAGATACATTCACTATGCGCACGCTTCCCTTGTCGGCCTTCTCTGTAGCTCTTTGGAGCATTGGGAGAAGGAGCTCTGTGAACAGGAAATGACCTATATAGTTCACCTAAATTGTATCAAAGATTGCTCCAAGAAAGCTATCGTATGGGATATACATACTGCCATCTGTATTTCAAATCCTTGGTTTGTTTCCTCGTACGGAACGCACATAACCTAGAGCATGTAAGTCATGTCTCATGAGGATAGGGATATAACATACGCCAGCATTATTGATAAGCAAATGAAGACTTGATTCCTGGCTATACCTTCATTAGCCAGAGCAATATTCACACGCACCACAGGTCGGTCGGTAATGACTAACTGAGAAAACCATTCTGCCGCCTCACGAACATTGTCCAAATCGGCCAGGTCTAACTTTAGTAACCGGATATCTGCCTCCGGATGCTCGGCAATGATATCCTGCTTCGCATCTCTGAATTTTGCCTCGGATCGACTGGCAATATACACACGGACGCCGTGTTTCGCAAGCTCGATGCTGGTGCCGAAGCCGCTGTTGCATCAGAGAAGTTAGGGCCATATCTCCAGATATAAGAGAAAATAAATCAAATATGTTAAGAAGGGTGTCATACAGTCCTGTGTGGCCACCTGTTATTATGGCAACGTTCCCGGCGAGGGCAGGGATGAAACCGTGCGGATCATTAATCATTACTAGAAATTTGCGTAATGATACTGGTGAGAGGGCGGCAATGCTTCAAGGCTAGACTACGTGCTATTTTGCCCTTATATATACATATTCTACTCACATAAGGTAGCTGTGGGTGGTTGCCTCAAGTAAAGATGCGTCAGCATCTGGAGGGAGGATCAGAGGGTCAAGGAACACGCTGCAACCGAACGTGCGGGTGCGGGTGCGGGTGCGGGCGCGGGTGCGGATGCGGGCGCAAGAAAAGCACAGACTAATCAATCATCACCGTTTTAAAGTAGTTTATTCTGTGAAATAAATTGGTCACGCGGACGGCGAAACAGATAAATGGATTATAATTTGGATGATATGTTCTTCAAATGGCATACAGCATACCCTAAATGTCCAGCCATTATGCACTCGCTGATGATGATGATGATTTAACCCTGACCCCTCACCTCGACGGTGATATGCAGCATACAACAACTATATATATCCCTTTGCGTACATGTAGAGTGTTCAATGTCTTGATAACGAACTTAGAGCCTCGTCACGGCCTACCGTGGCCCTAATTGCCGTTCCCATCTTTAGGCTGCCCTCGTGGCGGGCGGCTGCGAAACAGTTGTGACGCATCGGCGAAGTCCAATACGGCCTGGACCGTCTTCACCCTCGAGACGTTGTCTGGTTTGCCTTTTTACATCTTTTTGAGCCTCCCAGCAGACCCGATACGCTACTACACGCATCCCCAACTCTCCGCCTTAGCTCCTTTTGTTGATATGAGGCTGGTGCAGATCAGGAACCAAGCCGAACCATCGGAATTAATCCTGAAGTATGTATACGGAGAACCAAGTTGATTGGAAATCAACTTGATCTTCTCGCTGTATATATAGCCTTATGTTTCCCACTAGAATGATAACACAATTCATGCCTCTGAACTACAACACTCTGAACTACAACAGGTCGGTCCGGTCACCCACGCGGTGAAGTCATCCACGAAAGCAACTGCTCCTCCCTGGCCGTCGATCTGCCGCTACACGAGATCTGCGTTGAAGAAGAGGAAAAGGATTGGAGACAGTGGGGAACCCTGAGGTAGTCCAGCCTGTAGGAGGCTTTGGGCCTCAGATACTTGCCCATTGATTTGGATGGTCGCCGTTCGCTCCGAGCAGAACGCCTCGACCCACCAGAGCAGGACCTCCGGGATCCCTCGCGCTTTCATCCTCTGGATCAATCGTTCTTTGCCAACCCCATTGTAGGCTCCTTTGACATCGAAGCTGATCAAGCTCAACACCCGTTGGCCACGCCACGCCGTTTAGATTTGCTCTTGTAAGAGCAAGAGTGCTTGCTCCGCTGATCGCTACTTTCGGGCTCTTTGAAGTGGCTGGTCGGGAGCAAGCCGTAAGCCTCCACTGCGTGTGAGATCCTTTCTACAACCACCGATTCCAGTATCTTTCCCAGTGTCGCTAGGAGTGAAATCGACCTCCATGCTTTGGCAATGGGGTAGTTTCCTTGTTCGGCTTTTTGAGCGGTACGATCTGCGCATGTCTCCACTGCCTGGGTAACCTGTCTTCTTCCAGCGATGCCTGGAATAGTTCAAGGACCCTGTCCTTGATCGTGGGCCACATTTCTTCTAAACTATCGCCGGTAGACCGTCTTCGCTAAGCGCATTCCAAGATTTCGCCTCCAACAGCGGCCGTTCTACCTCCTCCATAGTGATGGCAGGCACCTCTACTGGCGCTCCTTGTAGTCTAGTCCCTTCATCGTCAAAGTCATATGGCATGGGCAGGAAGAATCTGGCCAACAATCTTCTTCCGCTTGTTTTTTATGATCGTGGTGGTAGCTCCATCTGCTCTGGTGAGGTGCGGTACCTTCCCGAGTGCTGCACACTCTCCCAACTTCGGTTGTTTCGCGGCTTTCCTTATATTCTAGTTGTCTGCGAGGAACTCATGCAGTGCTTTTCTTTTGTTGCCGGATGGCATCGTGATATTGTTTGGCCGCACCTTCGGCCATCTTTTCCAGGTATGGTACGTTCGCTCCGCCCGGCGCTCAGAGCGGGCGTGATTTCTCCAGTACATGTATACGTGACGGGGCTGTGTCAGGTCAGTTGCCCACCATCACTTTGCGTGTGGTGACGTTTTGGCCTTTGAAGTCAGGGCGTGCACCGCTTCCCATACCGCAAACGTGAGTCGGTCCGTTTTCTGCAGCACTGTGCCTTTCGACGGAGTTGCGGCCAGGGTGCTCGCAATCCTGGCATTGATTTCCTTCCATGGCGCGTTTTCCAGCAGAAGTAGTTCTTGGTGTTGTGGAACCGGCCACGGGGCATCGAAAATGGTTCCAATAGCGCGGTGGTCCGAGCCGTGCTCTGTCCCGTGTATTGCACACTTGACCATAGATTCTGTCAAGTTTTCCGCGGCCAGGACGAGGTCGATGGTAGACGTCCGTCTGTATACTAGAATCAACCCATCTATGTAGCCTGTCCAACGTTCACTGGCATTCCATTCAGTTCAGTATCCAACGGGTATAGCCTTCTACCCACTTAATTGACTGTTACTTGCAGTTCGGTACTAGTTCTTTAGAATAGTCATGAAGCGGATGGCAGCTCACTCGGTCCAAGACGGAGGCAAATCCGGTCGATCAAAGAGGGTTTCATCGGACGCAGGGACGGCAAATGGTCGGGAGCCATGCGAAGGACGGGTGGCTGTTCGTATGATAGCTATTAACATCATATTGAAAAGGCAAGGCCATGGGGCGCAAATACATCTTCGGCAGTACTACCTTTTAGCCAGTCGAAGAGTATCGAGCCTTCCTGAATTGAGGCCCAACATGCCGACCGGAGCGGTCATGTTCCAACCAAATTTCGTTGGCCGGTGGGAGCGCGACTGTACAAAGCGTCAATGGCCGGCACCATTGGGCTCGTGCGCCGCAGGCTTAGATTCGAGCAAGGCGGGTGGGTGTATGGCAATGCGGTGACTTCACGCGATGCAGCACGTCGTGCCCGGCTCGGTCGCGTCGGGCGTGACATTGAGCCTGCAGAGAAAAAGAAACATTAGGAATTCATTCTAGGTTATAATGGACAAAGTCTCAACTGGGAACCAATATCCAACTTCATGGCCATGTATATAGGCAACAAAGATGGCAATGCGCCGGCGTGGACTTTGCCGCGAGTGATTCTGTTGGTGACAGTGGAAAGGATCGGGAGCATTGACCAACCGCGCGAAGCTTGTTCCGGAAGCATTTCCTACCTAGCGAATCGTCAGCCCGGGATGCCCGACCCACGAAGCCCCACTCATAAGATCCTACCACCAGCTCCGCAGAGTAATTGGGTTTATTATGCCAGCGTTCAATCAACGTGCGAGGCTGCTTTCGGCGCGATCTATCATAAATGGTCAGTAGAGATTACTTGGAGATTCTGCTTCACTCACTATTCTCACAACCCGAGTAAGACCGCAAATCCAGGGAAGGTAGAGACATCGACTCTATTCGTGGGAACAATAGAAACAGACATGGTTCTCAAGGAATATTCCCGTCAGCATGGTGTCAAGTGCTAGGGTTGATGCACATACCTGCCATGAACGTACTTCTTTATCGAGCATATACAAGCTAGAGGCGGTGTTGTGAGCGTCAATACGATCGCAAGCATGAGAGATTAGGTTCGGTCCGTACCACAGAGAGAAGGTCCGAGGTGCAGGCTAAATTCCGGTGCAGACCTGTGCTACTGGGTGCCATCTCGTCTTGGCACATGGCATAGGCCAGGATTCAATCTTGTCAGTACGAAATATAGGAAGGTGGAAGAGAAAATTCTCAACTCTTTGTCTTGGGCTGACTGCGGTGTGTTTTCGAAGAGATCGTTGTGCTGAGGTCTGTGAGACATATTTGTAGTGCTGGGGTCGCCTTGTCGCCCGCGCAGCTGTGACCGAGAGCCCGACCGAGTTTTCCCTCAGATTGTAGCCTGTTGAACCGTTTCAAATTGACTATGTGCTAATTTTGTTGGATTAACAGTTTTTATCTCGATGAAAACTATTCCGAAGTCTTATTCCTGGATTTCAACGTCGCTTCAACCTTCGCTTCAACCTTCGTGACGCAGCTAGCAAATCAAAACACCAACAACGCATCGTGTCAACTTTCATGAACATGAGCTTTTACCATTCAAAACAAATTCTGCGGTATCATTTAACTTTTTCTCAACGATGATAATTGATCATTTCGGTGATGAATATTAACACCCAACCTCGTATGGATGAATTGGTATGCAGACTCATCGATTAGCCTGCTTTTGATGTTGGGATGTTTTGTTTTCCTGCTTCCACTAGCATCAATTTCTGTCTAACATGCTATTGTCAAGGTGTTGGTTTGCATAAAACATCGTATTCCAGAGGCCCTGCAAATAACGCTGGTTTTTGAAAATATATTTCCAGCGATCAGCACGGTCGAGCCCATTGCGAATGGAGGGAGAGCAAGTAGATGACGATGGACAGTGCGGAACTTATCTGCGTCACTGTGAATATTCTCATATAAAATACCTCGCTACGATCTGAAATCTCGAAAAGTACCAAGCAAGCACTCATGCAGCGATTTTTTTCCGTTAATCCCTTTTGCCGGTTCATCTCTGGGTAAACATCCGGAGCCATTACCCCCTTGGACACTCACGCTTTCTGTCCCAGTGCCCCCCACTCAGGTCGCGCTAAACCGACTTGGGTCAGAGAAAGTCCCACCATCTTTTCTTGATATATTTCTTGTAGATCACTAAAATTACCGTCATTACAGTTTCCGGCATTGGGCAGACCATACTTGCCGAAACGTCCATTGGCCAAACACTATAATTTGAAAACAGATTACTCCTCAGACACTCACCGTTTGTTTCTCAAGCCATACAGCAATGATGTGCAAGTAGCCCAAATTGCATTAACTAGTGTATAATATATTCTTGAAAGAAGACTGTAAATCTCTTAAAATGTTAAAGAGCACACTAATGCTAGCTATGCCGACGCCTCAAAAGCTTTGTGATATGATACAGTCCCAGTAGGTGTTGGCTTACGCCAGGTGAGAGCCATAAAATATTCCGGTGGCACCCCAGGTAGTTGCAGAGAAGGAACTGCCTTGAAACCAAAACGTGTGTAGTATTTCGGGTTTCCTAATACAACACAACCGGCCGTATGGCGACTCCGAAGATTTGCCAACGCGCGCTCTACCAACAACGACCCCACGCCATTTCTTTGATATTGAGGTAAAACGGACACTGGCCCTAGCCCGTACCATTTTTCACAGCCAGCCGAGATATTTATAGGTGAGACTGCAGCATGGCCAACGATAGTATGTGTGACTTCGTCTTCGGCGACTAGCGAGATTGATAGATGGTTCGCTTCGCGGAGGCCACGGACAATGAATTGCTCGTTGTGGTCTGTGTGCTCGGCATTCATAAATGCGGTTGAGGTGACTTCTTCTATTGCCGGCACGTCGCTTTCTTTCTCAAGTCGGATAAAAATTTGCCTTGCGCTCGTCATTCTCACTAGACTGCGGCACTATCGTACGATCGATCGATAATTATCGTTATCGTCGGATATTTTGCGGATAGCGATAGTAATTTGATATCCAACTATCCGCAGACGATCGATACGATAATAGATTTTTGGACTGCGGATATCGTACGATAATCGTCGGATAATAAACAGGACAAACATGCCTAGAAGCACTGCTTAATTTGGATTGCACAGATTATGCATTTTCTCTGGTATTTGAGTGGTATTCATTGTGTAATATCTTGGATCAAGGGATTGGCTCCTCGGGTTCACTAATGCATTCTTTGAATAACTTATGAAGGCTAATATTATATATACAGGAAGCTGGTCCCTTATTTCATATCTAGATTTGCTCAAAGAAATCAATTCTGCAGAATTGACTATGACCTATCAATCTCAAAACCAGCTGGCAGCTTTGGCTGTTTCCCGATCCTCCCTGATCGAACCTGGGTATCTTCAACCAACGACAAAGAATGGGGCTGATCATCCTCACTAAGATCATGGAGTGTAACTGCAGTATATGATCGCTTTCGTTGTGTTTGTTGACCCTGAGTAGCAGGCTGTGTTGAGGATGCATCTTGCTCAATATCGGAATCATCTTGTATCTCTGACTCTTTACAACCCTCTTCCTCATCGTCGCTTATTGGAACAATCTCATTGCATAGTACTGTAGGCTTCCATGACTCCTCCAGCAGAAGAGCATCTCCGAATTCAAGATGCTCCTTGATCCTATTAAGTTCAGCTTGTTGTAGCTCAAACTTAGATGAGAAGGAGTGTAGCATCAGCTCTCGAATGGTTTCTGGTTTGAGACGTCCACGTTGGTAGTGACAGATATCGCGAGCATAATTGAATAGTCGCTCAACACCTGCACCGCTAGCAGGCGTTGCGAGAATATCTCGTGCCATTGGATACTTATGCTCATGCTCTTTCCAAAATCTGCGAGGATTACCCTTTGAAGGCCCTATTACGATAGTGAGTAGATAATAAATAGTTGTATAGTTAGAGAACTTACCTTGTGATAGATAATCAGCAACCTCATCGACTGGTTGATCAACATCTGGCTGTAGAGCTGTGTGTGGATCAATAAGAAGAGTAAGATCATCATTCTTATCAATTATACCTTGCTGGGCTTGCTCAGTAGTGGAATATCTTTGAGGCTGGATCCGCTCTTGGTATCGATCAAACTCTTTCTGCAGAATATCTCGATATTTCTTCATCCAGTCTACCTGGATGTTATCATCGTTACTGCCTCGCCAGTCATCATTATCGAAGTATCGAAGCCGTTTAGAAGGACATAATATAGTCGCAATTGCATAAATTGAACCGTATGGATTATTGTCTGTTGCTGCGTAGTATTTGGTAAGCTTCTTCTGTGCTGAATAGATCGCTTTGAGCATCTTCTTTTTCCAGGGCACAGCCTTCTGTTCTAGCTTCTCTTTTGTCTTATCAAGATGAGTAAAAAGCTGATTATATATGCTGAATACAGAATGAACTGTTATATCCCGAGTCTTTGATAGTATGTTGGTCTTCTCAAAGAAGGGCTTAGTGATTATCAGAAGATATTTAACTTGACGCTATTCATCCGTATCAAGTAGAAATTGAGGATATTGATAATACTCGCAATAGCGATAGATATCCTTCTGTAGCTTCCGAGCCCGGTTCAACATCAGAAATGTTGAGTTCCAGCGTGTACGCACATCCTGCATCAACAGAAGTGTAGAACCACTAGTTTGAAGCTCCTTGAATGCATCTCGACGTTAGGGACTTGTATTCACAAAGATAGCAAGCTCTCGGATCTAGAAATAATTCGATTCAGTTTAACAATAAGGCAAAAAATAGAAGAGATAATATTTTGGCCGAAATATTGGGTCAAGGATGGAAGGTACTTACCTTCTTTAATGTCATAGCGATATTCTTTGTATGTTGTCCCAGAGTAGCTTGAAGAGACTTTGTTCGTATATCTGACCACTCTGATTTAGTCTCTGAATTTTTGGGATTTACCTTGATAGTAGCAAGGAGATCTCTGAGGCATAATTGCATCATATGTATTAGACATGGAATTCGAAAGACGGGTATTCCATTTGAGGTCAGTGACTGAGATACATCCTGAACAGCTTGAACCATAGTCTCATTGTTTGATGTATTATCAGTCGTGATTGATGATACCCGACCAGTGATACCATGCTCATCAAAAATCCGAAGCACAACCTTACTAAGATTAGCTCCTGTATGGGACCCTTGAATATGCTCAAACCCAAGTAAAACCTCACGATAGTTCCAGTCCTTATCAATAAAGTATCCTGTAATTGCCATGAAAGCTTGCTGAAATGGAGATGTCTAACAATCAAAAGCAATCGCTATATTGCTACAAGGAGGCAGTTGTTGGAGAATGCTCTGTTGCTTTGTTTGGACCTCATTATGCAAAAGACGCCGAATAGTACGTGTAGAGGGTATCAACAGGTCGGTATTCGGATCAGCAAATCGAGTATATTCTATCAGTTCCTTGAATTCGGGATGCTCAATAAGCCGGAATGAGAGTTTTGTAGTTGTCACGAATTTCAGGATCTTATGTTGGAAGGTATTGTGATCAAACTTTGTAGCTGGTACTCGTTGAGGCTAGATCGAATGAATAATATTAGTATATAATCATAGATAATAGATAATATCTTACCATCTCTTGTAATATCTCATTAATACCTCGTAGAGATCTTGACTGCGGTCTGCAGCGGCCAGATTTCAGATGATTTTTCATAGGCGAAGGACCAGAACGTCGAAATCCTGGATGAACAACAAAATTTTTGCAACGAACACACATGACCTTAGGCTCTCCTGTTGTTGCATAAGCAACCTGTTCAAATGAATCCCATACATATGATTTCTTTTGCTTGCTGTCCCATGCAACATATTTTTGAAGCTCCTGGTCTTGGCCATACTGTGTTTGTTGCCACCATTCAACAAACTGCTGTCGAATACGTGCTGTTTCTGGATCCATGTTGTTTCCCGGGTAAAGGATATAGGATTGTTGCAGAGATTTGCCGACACGCTGTAGTGAATCTGGTACTATAGGGTGTACGGGAAGAGAGGGAGATGCAAAAATTGAGGTAGGTCTTGTTGGGAATTGGTCGCTTGGTATCTCAGAGAGACTGTCTGATGCAAGGAGCTCTGGGTCAAATAATAAATCAGCATCTTGTGACACGTTATATTGGGAGCTTGATGCCTGAGAATAAGACATTGTAGAGTCCAAGATATAAAGGTGAAGGAAAGATAGGATCAAGATGTGCTCAGTATAAGAGACTCACTATTTTTTAGCCGAAAAAAAGGGGGCATAGGCAAACATCTACATGTTCACGATTTCGACGTGTTCAAATTTATTGGAGATACTAATTGGTTGCATATTAATAAAAGTGGATATTCTGTTGGATAACTGTTGGATATCGGCCGATTATCCGCCACGTGATAGATTGAAGTTTATTGATCTATGGTTAACTTGGAAAAGTGTCTAAGTCCGGTTGTAAGATAAATATATCTTCAATAAATCAAACTGTATCCAAATGTAAAAACCAAATTAGCCACAACCGCAACCGATTCTACATAAATGAATGTAACTAATCATTATTACCGGATGTTCCTATTATTAATACAATTGAAATTTTGGATTATTCATATGTAGAGTATAGTAAAGACGCTTTGCATACCACTCAAATCAAAACATGTTAAAAAACACTTAAAAACCAAGAGTTTGTCAGCTGCATAACTATCCCCTGACTACCTTGCAATAGGTAAATAAGCGAAATTTATGCTAGCGCGGATAGTTGTTGGATATCATACGATATTTGTTGGATATCGTACGATATCCGCAAAACGATAACGATAATAGATCGATATCCAACTATCCGCTCCAGCGGATAACGATAATGATCTATTATCGTTATCGTACGATATGCCGCAGTCTAATCCTGACTGCGAGAGGTCACCAATAAAGTATTCAATTACCATGAATTCGATAAAATCTGTCGAATTGCAGGTTGTAGGAGATCAGCGAGTTCATAGATACTCTTTAGGGTTTACTTTCCCCCATTTGCCAGACAAATTTATATGGTACACAGTAGAAAGTTTCACTACAAAGACACAGTGGCACTCACTACTGGCAAGCAACACCAGATATATATATTGAACATGGAGATGGGTAGTGCTACAAATAGTGCTCTCTTATTGGCCAGCACTCGCACGTGACAATTATCGTAACGATAATATCGTATCGCACGATAATTATCGTCGATATCGATATCGTATCGCATTATCGTTTTATCGTGAACACCCCTATTTTTACCATTGGTTTTTGGGAGGTTTTAATGGGGCCTGGCAACCGTGATGAGATATCGCCAATACCCTTCTGGCGGAGGTTATGAGCGAGTGGGAGTGTTGAAATATCCCGGTTGCTGAGATAATGATAAGCTGGGATCACGTGCATACATATATACTTGACTCAGTCTACTTGTATCTTAGACAACACAGATAACACATCCAACAACACAACACACAATCAACTCCCCTCAATAACATGAGCATTGAAGCATCACTTAATAAAACAACATAAACCAACAGGCTGGGTTTTCGCGGGCGGGTTTTGCCGAGGCCTAACTGGAAGTAGAATGTTATCACATGACCTTCATTAGTCACCATCTTGCTTTTCCAGCTTCACTACTATTGGATGGAAGGTAATTCCGTAAAAATCTGTCCAATCTTTTCTGCGCTAAGAATCATGTCATACCCCCCAGTGCAACCGACGGTGTTTATTTCAAGTCCGATCATTCTTGCCATTTAAAACTGCCCATCTAGGCCAGTTCTATTTCCGCTGCTTCTTGCTCAGCAACCACATTGTAAAATCATGCGCAAGCCAGACAATAGCTTCATCGACCAGTTTAAGGAGAAGTTTGGTGACCTACTTTTGAGCTGCGATGGTAAAATTGGAAAGGGGAGCGCTCCTATTAATGCAGAAGATCCAATGCTACCTGTTAGCTATGCTAAAGACACTGGGCTTTTTGGCCCTATGCAGCTAGACAACGTGAATTCTGGACAAATATTGGGGCAAACGAACAACTCCTCCATTTCTTCAAATACCCCCCGAGTCCTTCTCCCCCGTAGTTGTCTCCAAGAAACAGAAGACATCTTACAATCGCAGCTTACCAGGATCTGGCGCGGTCTTCCACAATAAAGCGGGTGACCTCCACTCCCCCATGATAGAGTGGAACACAACACTGGCACCGCTACTTGACGCATCAATTCAACATGATCCGCCGACTTTTTGGGGAGGCTCTGGCTGCTTCACCCCGTTGGCTCAGACTCAAAATTGGCTGTATGGGGAAGCAACTCGACAAGAATACCCGAACTATACGCTGGGGTTTTCTCACAACACGATTCAGGTTACACCGCAGTGGATAGCCTCGATCATTCCGGTCCTACAAGTGATATCATCCAACAAAAAACTCTAGAATTTGACTTAGCTACCCCCGAGGTAGACTCGAGTGGAGATTCGCTATATGATAACGGGGGAAAGTACGAGAATAGTCAGCACATTATTTATTCCGTTTACTTATCTTCTTCATAGGTTTCGTTACACTGTTACTCTGCAGGCACCAACAGCAATGCTTCGACATATCAATGAACACCCGGTGACCTACCTCAATAAGGGCCAAACCTACAGCCTCAAGGTGGCGGATTCTAAGCCACCCATTAGGGATATCGCGTTGGTTCAATACAGAACGTTCGTGCGAGTCTCTTTTGAAGAACAAGATCAGCGGTCAGACCCAGTTGCATCTTGGCAACTGTGGAAAGATGGTAGAGGCCGCAATGAAGCAAATAAGCGCCGAAGTGAGCTCTTGGCCGTCGAATATATTGATCCTCTTCAGGACAGTGCTGGGTGTAAGGGGCATCACCAGATTTGGCTCGAAAAGACCTATGTTGATGGTTTTTGTGTCACCTGGACAGCTGATCCAATGAGAAAAGTCTCCGAATGCCTCATCCCGCTAAGGTTCAATTTCTTGTCAACTGACTTCAGTCGCTCAAAAGGGGTTAAAGGAGTACCAGTCAGGCTATGTACGAAAACGGAACTCCTTCGACCAGAAGGCGTGAAAAGAACCACGGAGCATGACTCAGAAATGTGCTATTGTGCGATAAAGCTTTTCCGGGACCACGGTGCTGAGCGAAAACTATCGAACGACGTGGCACACATCAAGAAAAAAATCGAAAAGCTCAATCAACAGATCACCGACAGAGAACTAGGCTCGGACTTTGTCAGATCAATTCACGACAACAATTCGAGGAACCGTGGGCAATTTAATCATTGGCCTCGGAAGGGCAAGTCGTCGATGAAACCGTGGAAACCCCCGACGACCGAAAACCTTCGTTTCGAATTGGCTCTAACACATAAATTATTTTCATCGGCTCGTCAAGTGAGTGTTCTAGGATTTTGTGGCGCCGAGCAAGATGATCCGGATTTACATCCTGTCACTTTACCACGTGGAACAGATGATCTGATCAAAAATGAATGCATGGACAATCAACATATGGAGGACGCAACCATGGCTCCAATTCGATATTCGACAGAGCTGAATGTGCGATCTTATCGTCATCAAAGCCCTATCAATATACAACATCCGCTTGAATTTCCAGGTATCCCTGCTGGAGATATGCAGAACTCTGTATCTCCTGCAACGTTGTCATCTACAGCTGGTTCGTACTGCTACTTCAGAATATATTTCGTCGCCTCTTACTTACCATACCTCGTCACAGTCGCATGCTTTTATGTCCAGATCAATCAGAATGGAAAGCTGGCCCCGAGCTACCATCATGCAATTTACTTAGCGGAACGAACATCTCTCGATCTCAAAGAAAAGCTTTGTGAAAAGATGTTGGTCGACCCAAGACTTATCGCTCGTATCCTATGGGGAAATAGCAACGGCTTAGAAGTCATGGTCGATGATGATATGGTCCAGCATATTCCAGAGGAGCAAATTATGACCGCGGACATCTCTGAAGTTTCTTGTATAGAAGTGGCTTCTGCGGGCTTGAAGCCGTCTGTGGCGGAAATAAAGCTCGTTTTCTAAATAACTTCTGCTGAGTGCACATGATCATTGAATTATCGGTCACAGGGGTACTTTCACAAGGTATAGGGTTTAGCGGAGTGTTATTTCCACCGAAAAACACAGGTAGTAGTACATGCAGACCTGATTCCGCTAAATCATTACTCCTGAGGTAGGTGCATGAAGCTCTATCATGATCGAAACCAAAACATACTCTCAGGAGTAAATAATAATAAACGCAGAAGACAGTATGAGCAAACATGACTCGAGAGCACCAAGGATCTGAAGTTCCTCTATGAAAAGTACCGATAGAGTTTGATCTTGTCTACTCACAATCTTCGTATTTGAATATATCCGCACAAGCTACACATGAATCTGAACGGTCAGACTATGATGTCATTTCTATCTCGGGCTCATAAGAATGGAGACATGGGTACGTTGGGGGTATCATTGTATCAGCGCTATCGAATTATGGCAGGTAGAATGGGAGCCCCAGGCTCCTTGGAGCTTATAGCCAAACTTGGACCAATCATATCTACCGAGGCTATGTTGTGCGCGTGGGCCATTCATGGCACCGATTGGCTCGTTATTCTTTGGCAGATATCGTATTCGTAGTATCCAATTATAACATTAATATTGACCACCCACAGGCTCCTGGGAGCCATGGTCAGATATCAGCCAATCACTTCACTGAAGACTTGTGGGCCATTCATGGCACTGATTGGCTAATATTCCCTTGTAGTAGTACCCACCTTCCCGTATCCACTTAGTTCCCTGGGGATCGATGTGGGCATTGCACTACGCAAAGAGGAGGCTGATGGCAGAAACAATTGTTCTACCGAAACATAATCGACGTGATAACTCGCTCAGAAAATCAGTTGATCACCTTCCCCTTCGTGTATTTCCAAGGCCTGCCAATCAAAGTCTATTGCGTAATGTGCAATGAAGAGTTACGTGTACAGAACACCCTAGGAATCGTTGGATGACAATATCAAATAGTCAATCCCGACAGAATTATACTGTAGGTCCCAATAACGAGGGCTCCCAGATAAAGAAGTATGTGTGCCAAATAGGCAAGGAGCTAGTTGTATATAATATTGATGAGGGGTTTTTTGAGTGAAAGCAAGCGCTCATCATCGGTGAGTGAAATGAAATGATATGATCTGTTGCCGCCCTGGCCATCGCAATAAGGTACGGACTCATGATGGTTACTGATGAAACGCGTCATCGATACTTTTCTGCGGCGTCCCTACGACTGTTTAAACGGTTCCAACAGCGAGAAAGGGTTTTTATAAACTGTATCACCAAAAAATAAATTGCAATGCCTCCGAACACAGCGTTAAATCAATGATGTAATGTTGAACGAGCTGCAATTGAAGGTTCGTCAGTGTTTGTGCCTTCACAATTCACAGCGATCATTGCGTCGACGCAAGCAGAATGACGGGCTACAATGCTATAAATACCCGAATTCCTCACCAGCAAAACAGTGGTTCTCAGTCATTCTTTTCTCATTCTGATTCAAAGAATTTCGAACACCTTTTATCTATGCCGCCTATTCTTTGGTATGAACTGACCTTGAATTCTTGCACTTATAATTAAACTGACCTCTGGTACTATACTAGATGTCTTCTCGATACTGACGTCTTTGAACAGCAAGTGAGTATAGCTGTCTCGTCATTGGAAATCATGCTGACATGGAAAATGCTCAGCATCAGTCTTCCTCTACTATCCCTCTAGGAAACCATTTGACGCACTTTGGATGATCTCGATAATGATCGAAACTGCGAGCACGGTGAGTTATGAAGTGCCTTCATAAGCTGCCAACTGATGATTAATGATAGATCGAAGTCATCCCTTACGCAGTCGCTTCGATCATGCCAGAATGCAGCGAACACCAATAGCTAACTACCTAAGTTTTTATCAGCAGCAATTTGGAGAGTATTCATCCTGTGCTAACGACTCCCTGTATAAGAAGGCAAACGTTCGATCACGAGCCGCTCGATCTCCTCTAAGTGACCATGGTGCGTTGCCTCAGCCTACTTCCATGGCCGGGGATGCATTTTGGATCTCAGTGTAGATGTTATATACTTGATATTCTATCCTGTCGTCCTCTCTGTTCATCAGAAAAGATCGCTGGTGCTTCTTTCTAGTCATAGGACAAGTTTCATGGATGGTAGGCTTCCAGCATGTTTTCATCTCTCCCAGGTTCACGCTGTCCGACCAAAGATTGACTGTCATTATATTAGCTTCCGTATCCTGACGGCCATGCACCTCTAGTCCCGTATCCGATTCGAAGCCTCGACGACGACATCATCCGGTCCCATGCTAGGCCGAGTGAGCTATCGCAGCATCCAGCGACAACAAAGAGAATAGTAGCATCGACGAACACCGAGAAAGACCACAGTTTGCCCGGGAATAATATATATCAATCAACAATGAATCGAGCTTTTGGCGACAGGCTGAGAGCCAGCGCTGTCAAGCCTTGGTTGTAGCTGAGCAAGCGACAAGCCTGGCTGCAGCATTGGTCTACCAGGTCTCTCTTACCGCGAGAGCAGTCGTTTCAGGTCAGTTCCTAGTTTAATCTATACCAGATATCATAACCTCTCCTCCAGTAATACTTTATCCTGACATTGTTGAAGATATGCCTGTCGCACGAACAGCAAAGACGAAACTGCTATACATTAAAGGATAAGGCCCATGTCTATTCCCCGCATTACTAAGTGATCCCAGGTCCTCGTGCACATGTGCTTAAGCTGATGCCTGCTACTTCGTCTCTTTTTTGGCTGTGCTGATGACGGACTACATTGCGGCAAGTCTTCATCACTCTCAGTTACCAGGAATCTCGCCGACATGAAGGGGCAGTGAAAGGCAGCCGTTGCTCAGCCGTTCCATCGAGTTCGATCGGGAATACTGTATTGTGACTGGCATCTGGATTCTTATCTAGGCAGCGAACAATGTAAGTTGCAAACACTCATCTTGCGCCAGCTGCTGATTGTCGAAGTTCAGAAGTATGAATTATGTTATTTATTCTTGAGGTGATGCACGAGGCTATACATACAACACGAAGACCAAGTTGATTGTAAATCACCTTGATTCTTCGTATAGGCAACCTAGGAGTATTTCCGATATTGCGGCTTTGTTCCTGTCCTGCGCAAGCCTCATATCACAACATCTAACATTAAAGGTTTAGTTCCTGTGGGATAACAGAGTAAATGTTTTTGTTACGGAATACCAAGTTGGCAACGGCCCTTGGCTTTTCGATCAAAGGAAGTATTAAGCGCCATACGTCCCGCATTTGTTATTACGTTGGGTGATGTTTGTTGTGAAACGGGTGATGGGATCCTGATCGCGGCCGATCTTAGTCAGCATATGCATCAGCGAGTTTTTGGCGAATTATGATATCATCTAGGATCGATTGATATTCCTACGCCAACATACCCCTCCGCCAAATCTCAACTGCTTCTACAATTCGCTAGATGCCCAAAGATTTCTATAAATTTTCCAACAGAATAGTATTTGATTCATCAGCTGAAATTCAGTCGGTAAGCTGATAAACGGAGATTCCATCAACATCGGGGTTGTGAAAAGTTTCGATATGTTAACACAAATTTCAGTGGTGTCTTATGTGTCAATTGTAAACGCATTTATGAAAAGATCAAGCCTACCTGCCGTCACTATCGAACTTCTTCCCACGGAAATTAAGATATATGTCACGAATTATCTCCGCAATAAGCACGTGAAAAATCTGTCACTAGTTTGCAGAAAACTGAGAGAAGTTTCTTTGCCCCGCATCTTCCGAAACGTCCGGTTCCAGTTTTCTCGTTCCGGATTTAACGCATTACGAGAGTTTTTGCTCTCTGACCTATGCCGTTATGTAGTGTCTCTTACATACAAGGTCCCAGAGCTACTGCATCCTGGTACGCACCTCGCAATATGTATTTGTGAATTCACTAATATCTTCCTAGAAACACAGGACTTAAAGTTTTTCAAGGAAAATGTGTTGAACCCAGACGACTATATTGAAATTGCCAAAAAAGAGACCAACTTTAATCATCTGTCTGAGGTGCACGTTCCATATTTGCTGGTGTATGATACTTTCAAGTGCATATGCCAGGAGCAGCATACAATTATGGAAAGTTGTGAGGACTCGAATTCCTTGTCGAATGCCTTCAGGAGGCTTCCTCAATTAAAAGAGCTATGCTTGGATTTCTGCCCAACTCTGAAAAAGGATGACTGGGTAGCATCTTACATGGATCAGACTATTTCAGAGCGCACCATTCGGCATCATCTCCAAGTTATTTCAGATGCATTGAAGGCTGGGAGGGACTGTGGTATTTCCGTACGCTCAATTCACTTATCAAATCTTGAACTGCCCTTTGTTCCTTCATCTAGGCGAGATTCAAAAGTGCAATTCTGGGCGCATTTTTATGATTTACTCAAATACGCTTCGAGTCTTCGTTTGAGTGGATCTGGATCACCATTGCAAGTGCTCGCCAGCACTAAATTGGATCTTCAGCATCTAGAGCTGTGCCAAATCACAGTATCTGAAGCGGTCTTCCGTGACTTTATAATAAACAATATGAACTCGATCGGGTTTATCGGATGTCATGAGGTTCGCTTGATTACTGCAAACTCGCGAGGGCCCAATTTTGTCGAACTATCGTCTGGGTGTGACTGCTTAGACTTTCACACCTTATGTGTTACAGCTTCTCTATGTGCTATTTGCTTGAAAGAGGGATGGAGACTGCGAAAGAAGGAGTAATACTGGAATAAGTGATTGAGAAATACGCATGGCTCTGATAGGATCCCTGAAAGTCTTAAAGTGCCCCCCCTACTTAAGGATCCGTGTCCTAATCGTGATTCGGTCACGAAGCCAAATTGGCCAATGGAATACTCTCGAGCCCGATACAAAGGATCTGCCAGGAAAATCATGGAGTTGAATATGGTATGGAATTTAAGCACATATTCGGCCATAATCGACCCTCTCCCGATCTTGGGATACTGTACCGCTCAACTTATCTTCACCCACACTGCGCAGAGAACCATGAACCCGTACTTGAAAATTTACCAAGTATCTAAAGGTCTCTCTGGCTTCTTTGGACTAGGGTGGGATGGATAGTAAGATCGTTGGTACTACCTACTGTTGTTGTGGTTTTTGAGGTATGAATTATCTTATTGTTCAGAGGGAAACATCAGGCTATATATATACAACGAGAAGAACAAGTTGATTGGGAATCAACTTGATTCTTCGTATAGATATCTCGGGATTAATTTCGATAGTTCGACTTGGTTCCTGATCTGCACCAGCCTTATATCACAACAAACATCCTACCTGGTTTCGGGTCTAACTAAAGGCCGGCGTCATTGTTTTACGTTCATTGAAGTCAGCCATAGTCATTAATACAGCCCCACCTAGGATCGCCTTCCATGTTTAGGCTCAGACTCTTTCACCCCTGATTTATTACTGTATTTTATAGGAGTCCCAGTTTGTATTTGGAATAACAGACGATGAACAAAAGCTGTAAGTCTGTGTATTATTATCCATACAACCCCCATGCTCGCTCTTCTAACACAAGAGTCCCTTCTTTCTCAAGCCAAACAATAATTTAGACACCCCACAAGCTATCTTCACATGGGAGAGCTTATGGTACAGTACCGCTGCTTCTCATACACCTTTTTGATATGTGTTTTCCATAAGTATCCATTGAGCCTCTGTAATTATTGGCAACATCTCAGTCCTGTTTTTTGTTTTAGCTCACCCATGTGCTGTACCTGCCCAACCATGAAGAGCAGGTCTGGGTGGTGAAACCTCTATCAAACGAGATTACTTGGCACACAGATTACTGAGCGAGGCCCTCCTCCGTCCATTCACCAAAGAGCGCAAATTTGGTAGCTACTTGCCTTAACAGACGCTCTGTTGTTTTGCGGCAGCTCTGTAGAGAATTTTCGAGAGAAATCCCCGCTAAAAAATAATTAACTTAAGGGTCTTGCTTTCCTGGCCTTTAATAAATGTTATTTATAATTGTTAATCTGTCGATTTCGCGAAATTATGATTTTCCTGGGCGTCCTGTCGATGACGTAGTATAGCTGAATGGACCCGCTAAGGTCAATATGATTGGGTGCTACCCTGTTCAAATTATGGAAAACCGGGTAATGTAGCTCAACTTCGAATGCTCTTTGTAATCCTCGCGTTGGTACTAGACCTCGAGATGGGGCGGGGCGGTTCTAAATTTTTGAACCACGAACCGCCCCTCACAGACCCGCAACCTATGCCCTCGTAGAACCGCGCCGCCCCGCGGGTCTATGCGGTTCGGAAGCGGATCGACCCTCATAGACCCGCGAATGCATAACTTTGCCATGAGTTTCCTCTTTCGGACGCATAATTTGATGAATCATCTTTGTTATCTACTGTTATTAAACATGGTTTTGGTCTTAACCCTTCCATTCATCCAAAATAACTACCAACCATTTCGAAATTAGATGAAATTTAATTGTATATAGATTATTTACTATTAAATCACCAATTCGCCCTGTTGATAGAGTATATTACTAACATTATTGTGAGCTTTGATAGAAGGTGTGGTTTATTCGGTATACACACTCGGAAATATATATTTGAACCTGAGTGCACTACCACCATCTTTCATAAGATCTATTCGGTCTATACCTAAAACTCTATTTAGGATTTAAACAGACTATATTATATATTATTTTAAAGCTTACATTCTCTAATAATAGGTGGATCAAAAAAATATTATCTTCTGTAATAAATATAAGCTAGTAATCCACGTCGAACGATTGTACTCTTCTCTTTGTGGAACGGACTTAGTGAAATTTGAGGGTCTTGCTCGTAATATAGGCTATGTAGAGGGTCTTTCTGCGGTTTCTGCGGTTCTTATTGCGGGTATACGAGGTCCTTTGCGGTTCTTCCTGCGGTCATACGAGGTTCTTAGCGGTTCTTTGCGGTTCGGACCGCAGGGAACCTCAATATAGTGGGTCTTTCTATCCAATCACTATATAGAAATAGATTTTATCTATCTAAATCTCCTAAGTCCTGTTGTTTGCTCTATAGTAGCTGATTCTCATTTTTTTCGAGCACGTCTCTTACGCTCCTTTCTTTCCTTTCCCCCCTTTCATTCTATACTCATTTCGTCAAAATGCCACAGAGCCAGACCTCTCAGTTCTCTGATCACTATCCCCCATCGATTTTTGGCGATAACCCAGTGGATACCCTCTCCTTACTTCCATCTGATGGTCCATTCAATCTCGACGGGCGCGACACGCTAAGTTCTGCCCCTAACGTAAACTTTACCCGACCGGCGGTTCCTCCTCTGATCCCTGAGACACTCCAACGCGTTGGCCCTACTAAACAGAAGATCTATATCCTCTGGACAGAGATGATGAATGATGATTTTATTACATGGTGGCTACAGACCGAGTTTGGAAGTCAAATGAAACGGAATATTTTCGATGTTAAGCACCAGTCAGGGTGTTGGGATCACTTTGAACAGGTTGCAGCTCCTCAAGATGGAACTCCTAAGGTTATGTGTAAGACCTGTAACCATATCCTGGCTCATCCTGCCGATCGCCACCGGGGAACAACCCATATGAACAAGCACTACACACAAGGGGTTAATTGTCGGAAGCTAGCGCCTCGGTCGCAAGATATTAGACAGATGATATCAAACGGGGTATAGAGAACTCCTATCCTTATTTCTTTTCCTTACTAATGTTATCGAAATCTCTCACTAGGTATACCACACACCCCAAAGATTGCATTTTACCTAGCAAGCCTGGATGGAGAGGTTGATTACATTTATTACTGCCTCACGGTTACCATTCCTCCTTGTTGAACATCCTGAATTCCGTGCCCTAATCGAAATGGCACGGCTTGCTCCGTCTATGCCCGAAATCCCTTCCGCATTCACAGTCCGCCGGCATCTCCGAGAGATAGTGGAACAACGCCAGTATACTCTTCTTCGCAAGCTCCCTCAGGGCGCAAAGCTCTCTGTTGCATTAGATTGCTGGACTTCCCCTTTTCGACAGTCTTTCATAGCGGTAACGGGCTACTTTCTTGACCAAGAGTGGAACTACCGTGAGATTTTACTTGGCTTTGAGCCACTATATGGGTCGCATACGGGGGCCTATCTAAGTACCGTTCTCCTGAATCTTCTTGAGAAGCATGAGATTACTAACCGGGTGTTAACTATCACTACTGATAACGCATCTAACAACAGCACGTTGCTAGATAGTCTTCAAGAGGCCGTTGGATGTCTAGAGCTACCTAGCCATATCCCGATTGTTCGGATACCCTGTATCGCGCATGTTATACAGCTTAGTCTGAAAGAGCTACTTAGTCAGATGGATGCAAACCCACGGAACGATCGGGAAGAGATGGAATGGGCCGATGAAGGGACTGATACTATCACCGGGGCTCGCCAAGAGAACACGAAGATCGTGGCTACTCTTAACAAGGTCTAGTCTTCTCTTGCCTCTCTCCTATTCCATACGCTAAGTTGCTAACTATCTATTATCTTTAGGTTCGCAAGGTTGCCGTTTACATCAACAAAAGTCCACAACGTCGCGAGAGTTTTGTGAAACTTCAGACGAAAGAGCCAAAGCTTATGCCAATCCAAGATGTTCGGACGCGCTGGAATTCAACGTTCCTAATGCTCCGACGTGCCCGGCGGCTACAGTCTGCCTTTGATACATTCTGTGCCGAATTCAACCTTACCGACATAAAGATGGATAAAAATGAATGGCGACAGGTTGATTATCTTCTCTCAATTACCTATCCCTTCTTTAAATTCACTTCATCTCTCTCAGCAACTACGGATGTTACTATTCACAATGTCTTCGGTATCTACAACACCTTATTTACTCATATTGATAAGGCAAAAGCCCAGCTAGCGCGGAAGAGGGTTGGTTGGAAAAAGGTGATGAAGTCGGCGCTAGATTATGCACGGGATAAGCTGGCCGAGTATTATGGGAAAACTGATGATGTTCCTGGCGATCTCTATGTAATTGCCACTATCCTAGGGCCGAGGAATAAGCTAGCATTCTTCTCAGGGAAGGATTGGGAGCCTCACTGGGCGCCACGCTACAGGAAGTCCCTAGAGACTTACATTCAACCTTACCAAGAGCGCTATAAACGGTCTCCGTCAACCGTCCAGTCCATGAGAAACGATATATCTGACATTAATATCCTTGTGACACCTATCGAATCTCTTCAGTCTGAAACAACTGCTACAGATGAGTTCACGCGGTATCTTGGAAGTAGTAAGCCAATCCCTCCACTTCTTTATCTTCTTATGTACTCCCGCGGTTTGCCTTATACTAACCTTACTAGGTACTATACATGCAACTCCTCTAGTGTACTGGAAGGAACACGAAAAGGAATTTCCTATTCTAGCAAGCCTCGCCCGAGACATCCTCACTATTCTAGCTAGTGGTTCTAGCGTTAAGCGGTTATTTAACTCTGCCCGCGATATCTGTCACTACCGACAGGGCTCGCTGAAGCCACAGACGATCCAAGATTTGATGATGTTTATGTGTACAGCAAGATTTGATGTCGAATCAGAACAGCTTGCTTGGATTGATGAGTACCTTTATACACAAGAAAAGCAAGCAGAGAATGAGCGAAATGATGCGGAGAGGAAGAAAAACGAAGGATTTGATTCGATCAGTGATAACGAGGAAGATTCTCTTACTATTGAAGACATTCAAGCCACGCAATATTCTACTACGTCTGTCAGTGAGCGTACACTTGGGAAGAGAAGAGCCGAGTTCATATCCGATAGTCTTATCCAACTGGATGATACTAATGAGGTTCCTCTACCTGATAATAACTACTTATTAGAGGAAAGTAGCACCCAGCGGCGTTCATCTGGGCGCGTTCCAAAGCGCTCAAGACGGGATGAGGATTATGTATATAACTAGCAGAAACACGGAATCACATTAGCTAGCTCGGCAGAAATTGGTGAAAATTATCGAACTCTTATTAAAGGATTAGTCTAAATAAAACCTTTTATAATACGCATATAGGGCTATGGGCATAGACCATGATTCTGACTTTTGGGTATAAGGCTGAAAACAAAATACAAAAAAATACAGGCTCGTTCTGCATAAGATATGCATATTACGGGACTTAAGATGTTTGATATGTTTAGAGACCCGCCGGGTCGACCCGCAACCTTGGAGGGTCGGTTCTCATCGTCCTCAAACCGCCCCGTGGGTCTAAACTTCGCGACCAAGAACCGCCCCTCTGAGGGGCGGGGCGGGGCGGTACGCGGGTCTTGCGGTTCCATCTCGAGGTCTACTTATATGTCAATCGCAGACAAGATATGTAAAAGCAGTGCCATTATCATGCGATGACTCTAAAATGGGCATAATAGCCGACAACTTATGCATGTATGCACGTAAGCGAAATTCATGTTATGTTCTACTATTATACAATCTAGTATCAAATAAAAGAGCCAAGGTTTAGACCAATAAACTTCTATCTAGTTATGCTCAATCGTGTTATGTGAGTTTATTGCATATCCTGAATGCACAGAGTATCACACGAGACATGTAGACTCTATATAATTGATTGGCTTGTACACTCGATGCAGGGTTCAACTAATATAAGTCATTTTAGATATCACCTACTCCGCGAACACTTACTTGGCAGGTGTACAAGTACCAAGAACGAGACCATGATGAGAGTCTGGAGGAAGCTAGCTTGCACTTGAATGACCACTATAAGAACTCCCACTATCCCCGCTCCTACGACACATTCAGCAGCAGCAGGAAGACTTGTTTACCTTTAAAATTGTATCCTCAGACCAAAAATGTATCTCTCATTCCTCTCCATCCTTGCACTTGCACCTGCCGCCCTTGGTATTGTCGTCAATGACCCCATTATGAAATCGAAACGAACTTGGCAGCTGTCATGGAACATTGACACCCCGAAAACAGGATTTTTCCTTACTCGGGATTGGAAGGAAATGGAATTTATTGGCGTTGCGGAGACTGTGAAAGAAACAGCTACTTTCAGGCTATCAAAGGAGCTAGTTCGTCCAGGGTAAGAATCGGTATTTGATTTTGCCTTGATGAAAATTTGATGAAAATTTGATGTTAATGTTGATATGGTCTGTGTAGTGAAGTTTGGATTGTTGCATACACCAATGGTGTACCATAGGTCCAATCGGATATAGCTAGAAGTTGACTCTGGAATGAGAGGTTGGCATGAGTGTGATTCCGAAGCACTTATTATTTGTCTAGCTTTGATATGTCGGAAGTTTACAATCTCTTTTTACAATATCCCTTTAAATCAGTAGTCTCAAATTTCTTTAACAAGTTGTGACAACCCGGACTCTGCAAAAGAATACCAGCCCTGAGCTGACTGGGAGAATATTCATGAATACTATTTAATATGGGCATTTGCCATTCCCTTGGCGAAGAGATATAGAAGGATATCCGGTTATTTACATCTGTAATACGACCCACAACACATATCAAGCCCTGTAATATAGCATATATCACTGATAGTTAATTTCCCTGGCGTGTTTTGGGCCCAGGGTCAAAACCCGACCCGCGACTCTAGTTAATTATAAAACACTACCCACTGGACTGGGTATAGGTTGGTCTCGAAGGCTATGTATCTCCATTTATTTGACGCTATCGTGAAAAAACCATTTATATACGCACATTCGGTCGTTTCGAAACAATATGGATCTCCAATCGTTGATCAACATCATGCCTGTTTATCAAAAGCGTCTTTGGCTAACAACTCTTTCACTTCAATCTCTTGCCACTTTCTGCCCATAACATTTCCATCACCTCAAACATCTTATTTTCTCGGCCAAGGCCAACTCCAGTTCCGAATATGCTCAGAATCGAGTCCATTATTGAACGCCTCGGCCTTGCCCGCTAGCTGCTCATTGATCAGCCTCTCTCTCACACCAGATGCCGTGTTGCCGAGATGTTGAACCAAGTCAATAGCGTCAACAGCAAGGCTGTATCGATCAGTTTGATTGCGCATAGCCAGCTCAAACGGAGTGTCGATATTGCCCTTCTCTCTGTAGCCTCGCACATGTAGGTTATGCTGGCCCGGTCGCTTGTACGTGAGTCGGTGGATAAGCCAGGGGTAAGAGTGGAAATTAAAGATGATGGGTTTGTCGGTGGTGAAGATGGCTTTCCACCTCTTGTCTGACAGGCCATGTGGATGGTGCATGCTCGAGATCAGTCGGAATAAGTCCACCACATTGACGAAGCGGACTTTGAGCTGTGGAAGGTGCTCGCGCAGGAGCGCGGTGGCGGCTAAGGCTTCGTGAGTTGAGACATCACCGCAAGATGCTATCACGACGTCGGGTTCTGCGCCTTGGTCATTGCTAGCCCAGTCCCAGATTCCGAGGCCCTTGGTGCAGTGCTGGACAGCTTCGGTCATGTTCAAAAACTGAATGTGCTCCTGCTTGTCGGCGACGACGAAATTCACGTAGTTGACACTGCGGAGACAGTGGTCTATGATCGAGAGAAGAGTGTTTCCATCCGGTGGGAGGTAGATTCGAACCACCTCAGGGCTCTTGTTTGCGACCACATCGAGGAATCCTGGGTCTTGATGGGTGAAGCCATTGTGGTCTTGTCTCCAGACAGTCGCGGTGATGAGGATGTTAAGAGAGGCAACTTTAGCTCGCCATTCCACATCAAGACATTTCTCGATCCACTTGCAGTGCTGGTTAACCATGGAGTCGATGACGTGGATGAAGGGCTCATAGCTGTTGAGCAGTCCGTGCCGCCCTGAAAGAATGTAGCCTTCTAGCCACCCCTCGCAAGTGTGTTCACTAAGAATTTCCATCACGCGGCCATTGGGGGCCAGATTTCCTCCGTCTTTATCTTCTTCAAAATACTCTGCCATCCAGACTTTTTTGCCTGCTTTGTACACCTCGGCAAGCTTGTTGGATTCGGTCTCGTCTGGGCCGAAGAGCCGGAAATTGTTCATGTTCTGGGCAACCAGATCACGAAGGAATTTGGCCATATTGGCCATTCCTCCCTTGATGGTTGAGCCTGGGACAATATCCATGAACCCATAATCTCGGAAATCCGGCATTTTGAGCGGTCGGCGTAGAAGACCCCCATTGCCGACGGGGTTGGCACTGATCCGCGAGTTGCCGGTGGGTGCGAGCTCCTTGAGTTCCGGAACCAATTTGCCATTCTTGTCGAAGAGCTCCTCTGGCCTGTAGCTCTACATCCATGTCTCTAGCAATTTAAGATGAGGCGGATTGGTGCGAACGTCGGTAATTGGAATCTGATGCGCGCGCCAGAAGCCCTCGAGTAGATGGCCATCGACCTCGCGTGGGGCCGACCATCCCTTGGGAGTACGAAGAATGATCATCGGCCAGCGGGGTCGGAATGGTGTCCCGGATTCTCGAGATTGCTTCTGGTACTCCTTGATCTCTAAGATGCATTGGTCGAGTGTAATTGCCATGGCTTGGTGCATGCTGTTGAAATCGCTCGACAAAGTACGGCTTCCACCCGTAGCCCACGAACAAAGATGACAGCTCCTCATGAGTAATTCGTGCAAGAACTGTGGGGTTGTTGATCTTGTATCCGTTGAGATGAAGGACAGGGAGAACGGCCCCATCGGTGATTGGGTTCAGGAATTTTGTGCTGTGCCAGCTGGTCGCTAGTGGACCTGTCTCCGACTCGCCATCTCCAACCATGGTCAACGTAATGAGATCGGGATTGTCAAAGACGGATCCGAAGGCATGCGAGATCGAATATCCTAGCTCACCACCCTCGTGGATACTTCCTGGAGTCTCAGGAGTCGCATGACTACCAATACCACCAGGAAACGAGAATTGCTTGAAGAACTTCTTCATACCATCTGTATCCTCGGCCTTATCGGGATAGATTTCCGAGTAGACGCCCTCAAGATAGGACTGCGAGATAATTCCGGGAGCACCATGTCCGGGGCCAGAGAAAAAGAGGACATCAAGATCGTACTTTTTGATAAGGCGGTTCATGTGAGTCCAAGTGAAAGACTGGCCAGCATCGGATCCCCAATGCCCCAAAAGCCGAGCTTTGAGATGCTCCACGTTGAGTGGTTCCTTGAGCAGTGGGTTTTCACGGAGGTAGAGCATTCCAAGGCAAAGGTACATGCTAGCCCGGAAATATGCATCCATCTTGCGAACTTGCTCGGCGTCAAGAGGCTTCCCCTCCAATGTGGAGCGAGCCTCTCCATAAGCGGAAATGCTCTTCTCGCCTGCATTTGATGCCATGTTATGTGGAATTGGCAATCAGTTACGTTTCACAATATGCAAGAGAGTTCAACTCCTGGTTATGGCTAATCCGGTGATCCGGCAGCGGTAGTGAAGTAAGTGTACACAGATGATGTAGGCTGTAGATAGACTTCAAAATCAAAAATCAAGGTGGTGGGAATTGGGCAAACATAGAAGTTCTGGAAAGCCCCGGGGTTTAATAGATGACAGGAAAATAATTTGCCCCAAAAGATACATCAAATGTGCATCTGACAAGTCCATGACGTGTGTTGGCGAACGAACGTACCACCCGGTATTAATCAATGCCCAGATAGGTGGTGGAATGCATGCATGGATAATGACTCGCAGATGCCTGATTATGCAGAATCGGCTAGCTTTTAGCTGCTAGGCCCAGACAGGCGCGCCCGTATGCACCTGATTCCCACGTTTGTGGCGGTCTCTACAAACGTAACACCTGGCCAAAGTTAGCTAGCCCATGACGAGGATGGCCAGGTTTCGTTTACCACTAGACAATAATACGAATCCGTACCCGGTCTAGTGGGTAGTAGTTTATAATCAATCACTAGTGACAATAGTTATGGCAGTCACTGGCGGGGCGTCGGATGGAGCCCGAGAGGTCATGCTGCGACGGAGCCGGGCTCTGCGAAGGCAATTGCGGAGCAGAGTCGAGGCGTTCTCTATACTGCAGCAACTGGGTGGCGGTGTCTACGGGCGCCTCGGCCTAGTACATCTTCTGTTGCTGCCATCTCTGCATCGAATGGATGTTCGTAGTGGTCCGGTCCGAGGCGGGGATCTGCTGACGTTGCATGGCTGCGGTATTACAGGGCGGTGCAGATGTCTCTTACATCACATATCGGGCATTCATTCTGGGCTTATCGTAGCAGATACGTTGATCCATGATTTATTAGCAGGGGCATCGATGCGACGAAGTTAAACGGAGGGTCGCATTGACGCTACCTCATGTGATATAACTAGCGTCGGTCCTAACTAGACTTCGGCAGAACCCATATTTTGGACCCATTCTTGGCATTTCTTGGCATGCCAAGCACCCATAAAACCCATCAAAAACCCATCCTGCATAAAATCTGTATAAAACCTGTATAAGGAGGCCTAATTAGGCAAGTCTTGGCATTTCTATGCTTAAACTCTAAATGATGGGTTCTTGGCGATGGGTTATGGGTCCAACCCTTCGACCCATAACCCATTTTGCCGAAGTCTAGTCCTAACTCATACAATTTGAAAGGAGGGCCGAACAGCAGGAATACAAGAATATCAACACGGTATTCAACCACAGCGTTGAAACAGCACATACAGCAAACACCCAAGATCTTTCAGGACGGCCACTCAGAGTGCCAAGGACCATTAGGTTCATGGATACCCAAGGAAAAGAAGCTCCCAATTGAGGAACCTGTCTTGGATTGGATTATATCGACCTGCTAGCCATTTACATTCCTCGAAAACCTTCTTTTTAAGGCTATGATGAGGTCAGCAAGTTTCCAGGACTCCATACCAAGTGCTAATACTGTTTCGAGCCGATTATGCCTTCTGTTTGATGCTCTTGACAGTGAAGGTCGGACCTTGATGTCTTCAGCTTGCTCAATCGCGATATCTCTTGATGGTTATGTCAGGATGAGGAATTAATGTACTGGCTAGTACTGAACATGTCCAATAGAATCAGATGATTGATTGAAGGTTTTATGAGAGCAGTTGAACGCCCTCGAGAGTCTGTATCATGCCGATGCGGTGTGTTACGACACCATAACTCCGAGTCTATCCCGAATACCATACGAATACTAGGGGAATTGAGCGGATGATGAACATCCTATCCCAAAAGGTATTAGTGGTATTTAACCACTCCTTCAGTTCTGTTAGGACAATCCCCGGGGGGGCGTCCTGATACGATAAGGATACGAGTGAAGAATGTGAGATATGCCTGATATGGGTATGATGATATTCAGACTAATCGCTGGTCCTCCTAAGAGGATCCAGCTCCTCCTTTTAAGGGGATGCCTGTGTGCGTATGCAAGCAGGTAAGCGAGGTGATGTATCAACAAGCGGCTCCGGTGGTGGATAGGCACCTCCTCCGCATCTCCTACACCTCATTGTATGGTTGGCGTAACATTATCCCCCTTCTTCGTAGCGCTGCGACCCGAAGTGCTTGGTAGTTGGATGGTAGATGAAAGATGGATGAGCCTATACCGGTAGCTTTGGGTGCTTGCGTGGACGTCCCCGACGTCGCTTTGGTGCACTTTTTGGCAGTTCACCATCCTTTCTAGGCCGTCCTCGTGGCCATTTGGGGGGGTTTTGCAGTTTCGGTTCTTGGTTGATTCATATTTGACTGTCCCTGTTACCCTTCGAATATCTCTAGTGCTTCTGTATCCTCCATGCTAGAGCGTGGCTCCCAGGTATTCTCGCTGTTACTGTAACCCTTCCATTTGACCAGATATCGTACTCCTCAGCCCTACCGCTTTGCCTCCAAGATACACTCTACGTAGAACTCAGGTACACCGTTAACCATTACAGGGTCAGTGTGCTCATCCCGTACGGGAGGACCTTGGTACGGTTCAAGACGCGAGACGTGCTGGGTCGGATGGATATTGCGGTAGCGGGGTATTATGATGAGCTTATAAGCCTGTTTACTAGCTAGGCCGGCGATCTGGAAGGGTCTCATATACTTGTGGTCAAGCTTCTCGTTCGGGCGGTCCCGATCCATGTGCCTGTTATCAGCCATCACCCAATCTCCGATGCGGAACGTCATCTCTTGATGCTTGCGGTCATATGCCTTCTTCATATTCTCTTTTGAGCGTTGGAGACGGTGCTCCAGCTCTCTGCGGAGGCTTTGAATAGCTGTGGTGCGGTGTTTCGCATCTGCATGAACAGGCATGGAAGGATTGTTCACGGAGGTACGTAGCTCCGGTCGTGCGCCATAGAGAGCTTCAGCAGGTGAGATGCCCAAAGCACTGTGGATCGTCGTATTATATACGAATTGTGCGAGGGGCAGCCACTTTGCCCAGTCGTTCTGCCTCCAGCACACGTAGTGTCGCAGGTAATACTCCAGCGTCTGGTTCTGTCGCTCTGTCTGCCCATCTGTCTGTGGATGGTAGGCAGTTGATAGGCGACGACGAGTGCCCAGCTGGTGGCAGAAGGATGACCAGAATTCGCTCGTGAACAGGGTTCCTCTGTCACTGACGAGATTCTCAGGCATACCGTAATGGGCCATGACCTTCTCATAGAATAGGTCTGCTAGGCCTGCGGCGTCTAGCTCCTTGGTGGTAGGCACATACAATGAGTGCTTTGTGAAGAGGTCGACCACGACCATAATGGCATTGTAGGTCTTTCCATCCCACTTGGATGATGGCAGGCCGGTGATGAAGTCGACGCTCATCCACTGCCATGGCTGCTGAGGCATCGGCAGTGGTTCCAGTAAGCTGTATGGCTTGTGTCGATGCACCGCATCGAGCTGGCAGGTGTGGCACTGCCTCACATACTCCTGGATCTGTGGGCGCATACCATCCCAGTGGTACTTGCTCCGGATAGCTTCATATGTGCGCTTCTCCCTGTAGTGGCCCGCGTACGGGTCATCATGGTGCACCTTTAGGATCTCAGCAATAAGGGCTGGCTCACGGGGGATGAAAACCCTGCCGTCAAACCGTAGTAGTCCCTCTTCTGACCTGCTCCAGGGAGTGCCTCCCAAGCGTCCTGCACCGCCTGTTGCCCCTATCTTGTGGTTAATCTGCTGCAGCTGCGGGTCTTGAGCTTGCATTCCGCGGATGTATTCAACCATAGAGGCGGTAGACGTGGCATTCAGCGCTGTCTCTCCTGCTAGGGCCTGTCTGGCCCTTGCTCGGGTGGGTAGAAGCTCTAGGCTATCGATACCACCAACAGCTTGGCACTCCTGGCCTTGTATTAGGGTAGCAGCCATTGTAGGCGCTTCAGGGTCATCGTCTGCGAGTGGTCCCTGTTTGAGGCTGGTTTTCAGCTTCTCAAATAGCTTCTGCTGGTATGGGTCGACCTGATGCGAGGGCGCATCGCGAGCATAGTCTGGCCTTCTACTAGGCGCGTCCGCGGGGTTCTTGAGACCTGGTTTGTGGAGGATAACGAAATCAAAGGCAGCGAGGCGCTCGGCCCAACGTGCTTGCCGCTTCGATAGCTCCTTGGTGCTCATGAATGTCCTCAGGTTTGCATGGTCTGACCATACTACCATGGGCTTCTGCGTCCCTTCTAGGTAGTGGCGCCACGTCTTGAAAGCGTTGACGATAGCTAGCATCTCCAGGTCATGAGTCTCATAGCGCGTCTCCGCGGAGATCAACTTTCTTGAATAGAAAGCGACTGGGTGCCACTGGCCATCGTCTTGCTTTTGTGAGTAGATTCCAGAGATAGCATACCCTGATACGTCTGTCTCTAGCTGTGAATCTCTCGATGGATCAAAGTGGGCTAGCACAGGGGCGTCTTTAAAGCATTGTTTTGTCTCCTCAAAGGCCTCTTGGGCCGCTTGAGTGAAGATGAAACCTTCCTGCTTCTTGTTCCGCCCCTTCTTCTGTGCATCAGGGCCCCTGATGAGGTCGTTCAATGCAGCTATCTTAACACTGTAGTGCCGTATGAAACGCCTATAAAAATTGGCAAAGCCAACGAATTGCTGCACATCAAAAATACTCTGAGGTGCAGGCCAGCTTATGATGCTGTCAATTGTGCTCTTGTCCATCTCAACACCTCTTGGTGTGACGATGAACCCCAGGAATTCCACTTGTGGTATGAAACAGGCACTTGGAACGCTTTACGTATAACCGATAGTGCCTGAGCCTGGATAGTACCTCTCTTACATGGTGCCGGTGCGACTCCTCATCATTTGAATAGATGAGTATGTCGTCCAGATACACCACTACGAACACATCTAGTGTGTCGCTGAGAGCGCGGTTGATGTAAGCTTGGAAGGTTGCTGGTGCATTGGCCAATCCAAAAGGCATCACGCAGTACTCATAGTGTCCGTACCGCGTCCTAAA